GTTTTGTGCCTTGTTGTTGCACTATCTGACTGTATATTATTTTATTACCTTGGTGGACTGTTAGGGGCCGTCCAGGGTTACCGATTGTTTTTACAAACCAAAGGTTTTAGTATTTTTTCAGCACCCACCCACCTACCTTTTCTGCAGGTATAATACGACTTCCAGCAAAATATTGATGTCAATTTTCGACATCCAGAAGTAACTGGGCATTCTCCATCTGCATGCAATAATTATTTTCAAAACGAAACTCCTAAAACCCACCCGACCCCAAACGAAAACTTTTCGTTTTGGAAATACTATTGGTAACCTCGGACTGCTAGTCATAGCTCATAACTTATTGGTTCTTTCTCTTTACGTTACTACAGAGACGGATCCAGCGATCTCCACAGGGGGGTTCCAGTAAAGTCAAAACTGAATAGCTGATACATGTACATGGACATGCATATGGTTGCCAGCAGTACATTTACGGAATTTAGGGGGTTCCGCGGAACCCTCCTGGATCCACCCCTGTACTATTGACTCAACATCCCAGTCATTATAGATTGGCATTGATCGTTGCCATGGCGCCGAGTCTGAGTAGTGAGTGATACAGTACTTACGCAATAGTGCGGCATTCATCCTGTGGAGATGTGTCGCGTATGGGCTGCGCCAACGGCCCTGTGCTCTCCTGCTGGACCAGAGTCGGTGTGCGTCCGGATAGGCTGGTTGGTGTGTTTCGGGAAAGGCTGGTCGGTGTGCGTGCGGATAAGCTAGTTGGTGTGGTATCGGTGCTGCGCCGGGGTGGTCTGTACATGATAACACAACACAATACGATCATCATCACGACAGGCTAGCATGCAAGTCATCACGTACACAATATACATCACATACACATCACCTCACATCACATCACCTCACATCATATCACATCATATCATATCACATCATATCATATCATAGCACACCACAGCACAGCACACCACATCGCATCACATCGCATCACATCACATGCATTACATCACGTTACATCACATTACATCGCATCGCATCACATTACATTACATCATATTACATAACAGCACATCACATACACATTAGATGGGCCGGCGTATTATTTTTGACGTACGACAACAACAGCAACTGACAATAGTAATGTTCTGCTCTCCATATAACGGGAGTGCGGCGCGAAGAATCACGGTAACTCTCTTTGCATTCCGTTGCATGATGTAAAGGAAACCTGTTCTGCTCTACGTTAACGTAGAGAAATCACGTGAAATCTGTACGGGGAATTCCCCTTCCAAATTTGGCAGTTTTCTGCCTGCATTTGAATGATGCCCAGCAGATCTGTATGCATTTTCTTTGCGCGTGCCACAACATAGAGAACCTCATCTACACGTAGAAATCTGGACCCAAAACACGCGAAGCCGTAGGCTCTTAACCCCTGGCACCTGCTCTCTATGTGATTTCTCTATGTTTCACGTAAAGCAGAATCTCTCTATTGGTATCAAAACCGAACACACACACACAAACACACACGCATGCATTGAGTGTAAACATGTGGTATTAAGGGGGCTCAACCCCGAAGAGGGAGCAAAAAATATTATGGTAAATCGATCTGAACTGTGTGTTTTCAGATGGCCAGACACCTAGAGAACTGGTCTGGGCTATTTCAAGGATAGGTTTATTATGTGGTTCCCCAGCTATGGGGGTGTTATTGTACCTATGTTTTTCGGCAAAAATTCAATGATTTCTCACTAAAGGCGTAAAATTCCAGTTGGTAATGCTTCAAAAATCCTGAAAGTGGGTATGGAGGGGCCTACAATACTGTCTCCTTTGGAAAATGTCCACAACATATGACCAGACCACTGTGAGAGGCCAAGGTAGCCCAGAATGTGATTTGGCAAAACGCGTATTTCAGCAGACCGATCTTTAGACTTGTTTGAATAGTGGAGAATCGAGACAATAACATGGTCCATTTTATGGTCATTATCTGCTCTTCAAGGCCATAGGAAGGCTCTACAAAAATAGATTTTTATGTCCACCATCTCGTTTCTCCGTGAGAAACAAAATTTGTGACGGATTTTGCATATTCAACTTGAAAGTCAGATTCAGCATTGTTGACAAAATGAGTGTATCGACTTCATTCAAGCTTCACTTTGACTATGTAGGGCGAGAAGCATTTGCTATAGACCAATCCCAGACAATACCCCATGCAACAGTCACAACTGAATTGTGTTATTCACATCTTTGTTGTATATTGTGAGTATGTACATACATTTTCTAGGGTACCCTGTAAGAAGGCCTTAGCCTAGGCCTGTGGGGATTGCCCTATCAAAAATTTGATAATAATAATAATACTATAATGTACATACATACATACATACATGCATGGGTATATCAATGTACAAAACAACGGATTATAAGTATAACGCTTTCAATGAGCAACTTGAGTTGCTTGGTTACTGCTGGATGCGATGGCTAGCAGCCACTGTTGGTATTGTGAGTTCGCGCCTCCAGTGTGCAGCACAACGTGAATGTTTGAGCAGATAACTGCAGCATCATCACGAGTGGTAGAAAGTGGGGACGATGCTGCACCTCCTGCAGCTGCTGGAGTACTTGTGCGGTCTGGAGCAGTGTGTAAAATAGGGGTGTTGGTGTTGGGTCTTCCAGATGCTAGATGATGTGTTATGCGTTTTGCAATAGCAGAACTCGTTGTGACTAGCACACGCCCATCGCCACCCGGTTCGTGCAATAATCCAAGGATGCCAGTTCCCTGATTCCTCTCAAATGCCAACACCAGATGATTGTACCTGTAGGCATGATATATAACGTTGTTGTTGTTGTTGTTGTTGTTGAAGTAGACTTCTACAAACACCCATGGTGCAGCGAAACTCCCACTCCAGCTTGTTTGCTGAGACTGTGACAGAAGCCTGACTAGTGCTGCAATGTGTACTGCTGTGATTCATGATTTCAGTTGACATTCCTTGCCTTGCCTTGCCTGGGTAATATTGCAGTTCTTCACAACATGCATAACACAATTTTATGCTGCATTTACAGTCTAGGTCAAGGCCGAGCTCATGAAAATGTGGCAACTTGACCATGCATAATATTACGTGTCTGTGACTGTCTCTGCTCAAGTTGTTCTACAAGGCATATTGCCAATATTTCAATATTCATTTTTATAATATTATACAGATTCCTGTCATAGTTCAATGATACAAGCACAGCCATACTACCTTGAACCCACAGCCTTCTCCTGAGAAACACAGGCACATGTCAGAACTCACCCAGTGCAGCCTTAGAGTTCATAGGATCCATGCTTTCCACTCCATCCAGCATGAGACTCAGATGTCTGACCAAATTCTCCTGCCCACACATAGAACACTTCACTGGCATGTCCCTATGCTGTTTATATATACTGGCTGTTCCAGACCACACTCATTACTCACAGAGATCAAGTCCCTACTTGCAGACACTACACTCTGACTCCACTATCTCCAGGTACTGCAGGTACAAGACCAGTTTTTCTCTCACAGTCGTCAGTAACATTTTTATCTGGCGACTGGAAAAGAAAAAATAGATATCGTTCCAAGTGCCACTCAAGTGGATGCACTTGAACTTGAGAGAAGCATGTCACTTACCTGCGTTCTGAGACTGGTACATGTATCACTGGTAGCTGGGCTCTGGACAATCTTGCAGGTTTACTTGTCTTCACTGGCAGGCGAGACTGAGAAAAGGGCATATCTGAGCTGGAAGTTAGAACTACACGACCTGAAGAAGCTTGACCTGAAGAAGATTGAACACGCTTTGTTCCTGAGCGCCCACGAAAACGGCCGTGCCTATTGATAACTACAAGTACTTGACGCGAAACTCCATCGATCGCCGACATCCAGCAAACCAAATGGAAAACACAAAACGTTCAAACTGTTCAAGGACTGCAGTTTCTTTGAATTCTCGCAAAATAAACTTTTGAACACGACTATTTCTCGCAAAAAAACTTTCTCCAGCCGCGGACAAAATGTTTTCAAACGCGAAATTTTGCATAAAATCATGCCCAGATTTCGATGCGCGCGCAGAAGTACTGAGCCCCCTTAAAATAAATGTGGTGATGACATACACTCCGGGTGGTTGATCATAACGTGGTGGCAATGGTGTCGGTGATTGCAGTGACGTTGAACCAAGCACATCCAACTCCACTCTTGCTCTGCAAACCAAACATCACGAGACAGACGAGAGTAGACATCCATGAGTTTTAGATCGATTGTTTGCACACATGCAGACACATACACATACACACACACACACACACACACACACACACACACACACACACACACACACACACACACACACGCGCGCACAGCTCACCGCTCTTGTGCTATGCCGTTCAGCCATCTCCTGCGACGATCGTTTCTTGTCGTCTTGAGACGGATGGACTCGTATACACGCCCTATGCCCCGGCCATTGTCGTTACCACGGATACCATCAGTGCCGTTTCCGCCGAATGGGCCACACAGTCCTGCCTGGTTACTGAACATATCAGTGTAATCAGACACACATCAAAGTCTTTTTATTATTAAATACTGGTACTAGTAGGTAGTTTATAACCAGCATCAAAGTCTGTCTACAACAACGCATGGTGTATGTTGAAGTGCGAGGCCCTTTCATACCCCCCCCCCCCCCCTCCTCCTGTCCCTGTGTTCGGCTACACAAATGCCCTCTCCTCTTTGTTATATCTCACAGTGGTTTCACAGAGTGCTATTAAGTGTCAAATTACTCTGTCTGAATGTGCAAACTGTAAGCACTTGTTTGTCTTACCGTGATGCCAGAATGCACACAAACGAGGTGGCTGCTATGAGCAATGCCACGCAGACGGCTACAATGACCAGAATCGTCAGTGTTGTGGTGTTCAGCGTACCTGCATAATTATAGTGATGTGCGTGTTTGTGTGTGTGTGTGTGTGTGTGTGTGTGCACGCGCATGTTTGTGTGTGTGTGTGTGTGTGTGTGTGTGTGTGCGTGCATGCATGCGCACGTGTGTGACAGAGAACGAACAATGCAGGCAATTAGTTTTAATTCCCGTAGCTATGCAGAAGACGTTACTTCAGTAACGTCTGGCGCTAGCCAGGGTCCACACAGCTTTAATTTGGTATTTGTGTGTTTGTTTGTTTGTGTCACGCCTGGCGCTATCCCGCATCTGACGGCAAAAAATCATAGGGATGTTATAAATGTTTCAATTCCTCTTTTTTTTCAGGCATATCCTGGGATTCGAACCCGCACTATCGCCCTACATGCATTCCCCCATACACTTCGCATTCATACCCATTCTTCCAAGTTGCTTCACGTTATGATCTTGCATTTGAAAGCCCTATTTGAATATTGCGGGCAGCTGTATGTGGCCAGCTGTGTTTGATGGTACGGTACGGTACGGGAGACGGTGTCGTATTACCCTCGATCGTACCTGTCCCGTACCTATCCCCTACCGTACCGTACCATCAAAGACGGCTGGCCACAATGCATATTCAAATAGGGCTTTCAAATGCAAGATCATAATGTGAAGCAACTTGGAAGAATTAGTATGTATGCGAAGTGTATCGGGGGATGCATGCAGGGCGCGATAGTGCGGGTTCGAATCCCAGGTTATGTCTTCAAAAAAGGAATTTGTTAAAGAATTTATAACATCCCTATGCTTTTTTTGTCTAGGTCATCAAGGCAAAAAAGCATAGCGTAGGGCCCTGAGCTTCCAAGCTCTCTCGTTTTTTCCGTAGTATAAGAAAAGGTGGCGAGGTGACAACAGTTTAAGGATTGCAAAAAACAGAACCAGCTGAAGCGTCGTTTCATGAATTTCGGTAGAATTTTTTTCGTGATATCTCAATAAAACCTTCGTGAAATGACGCTTCAACTGGTTCTGTTTATTGCAATCCTGAAACGCAGTATAAGAGTCGAATCATAATAAGACACGCTTTAAACACTCACAATTCACACAAAATAAGTCGGTGTGGCTTATACGATGGCTGAATTCACGGTGATTAACAGGGTACTCAGTAGACGTCTGTACATGAGCCGTGATCAGCAAAAACAGACCTATAGGTCAAATTTTTTAAATTGTTTTTTTGCTGGAAATTGTTTGAATGTATACAAACAAATAATTTCCAGCAAAAAAAAACATTTCGAACAATTTGACCTATAAAACAGACGTTTTTGCTGATCACGGCTCACATGTATTTCGTGACAAAAATCTGGGTACAACAATGTGAAAAATCTGGGTGCAGCTCATACTCCAGTGCGGCTTATACTCCCGGGCCGGAAGGACGGTACGGCATCGGCAAATTTGCTAGCAGGGAGTAGTACAATACCAGTATTGTACTACTCCCTGTTTGCTAGTGTCTACTACTAGCATGGCAGAGTAAATGTAGTGTTCACATTGTCCTGAGAGCTACACTGTATCTACTCAACAGTAAAACATGTATATATCGGCACAACTGAGTATCAGCAGTGCACACCAGTGTGTGTACAGTCAACTTTGTGTATAACGACAGACGGCGGGGCCTCAGCAAATCCTTATTCACGAAGCGTCCCTATACCCGAAGTCTCATTATATATTATTACAGCTAGATCGGACTTAGAGTCACTTTGCTCTGGGCATGGGAATTCTGTCGTTATTCGCGAATTGTCGTTATATCCACAGTCGTTATTAGCGAATTGTCGTTATATCCGCAGTCGTTATTAGCGAAGTTGACTGTATTATAAAGATGGTGATTTGGATACACACTACAGACTCAGTGCTGTGCTTATGTGCATGACAGGTAGATGCACATGCACACTCACCCTCATCTTTGAGTTCCCCTGGGTTTGGAGTTCCTGGTGTATTTGAAGGTGGTGATGGCAATTGTGATGGTGATGGTGATGGTGCTGTGGGTGGCTTTGTTGAAGGCGATGGCGGTGTTGGTGGATTTGTTGAAGGCGATGGCGGTGTTGGTGGATTTGATGAAGGCGATGGCGGTGTTGGTGGATTTGATGAAGGCGATGGTGGTGTTGGTGGATTTGATGATGTCAAAAGTTCTGTGGGTGGATTTGATGAAGGCGACGGTGGAGTTGGTGGATTTGATGATGTCAAAGGTTCTGTGGGTGGATTTGATGATGGTGACGGTGCCGTGGGAAGTTTAATAGTGGATGTTGAAGCTTTGGTGGTGCTACTCCAGTCCGTAACTACTATGTTCCCATGCTTGCTGCTGACTCTGCGCTGCGGGGTCGTAGATATTCCGGTTTGCTGTGTGGGTGGGTGTGTTGATGTGGACACATGCTGCTGCGTGGGTGTGGGTGTCTGTGCATCCGTGTGCACATGTGGCGATGTATGTAGCTGGGCGGGTGTACCTGCATTTTGCTGTGTAGTATGTAGCTGTGTGGGTGTGTGCTGTTGTGTGGATGTGTGCTCAGGTTGTGTGGATGTGTGCTGTTGTACGGATGTGTGCTGTTGAGTGGATGTATGCTGTTGTGTGGATGTATGCTGTTGTGTGGATGT